CTTCCTTAAGAAAAAAAAGTCTGTAGAAATCTACCAACATGTAAATAAGTGGTTATCTTTGGTTCTTAATTCACAATTCTCCCCTTTTATCTTCCTTTGTAATATTTAAAATTTACACCTGTTAGGAAAATTATAAAAACTGTTACAAAGGTAAGTAAGACTACCTGCCTCTGAGTCAAAAAGCCAAAGACCCTGAGTTCAGTGTCTGCCATTACATATTTGGCTACCTGACCTCAGGCAATTCGCTCCACTTTCTTGTAAAACAACAGGAGCTATACCTGCTGTGTCTGGAAGCAAGGAGATCCAGGATCTCTTGGCTCAACTAAAAGTTACTCTGTATGCCCAGGTCACTTTCCTTCTGATACTCAGTTTCCCCAATAAAAAAGTGAGATGATGGTTCCATTTCCAATATTCTAAAATTCATGATCAAGTGGCCCAAATAAGCAAAAGAATCCAAGCAGAAAACCTCTTTCAAAAAGAAAATGAATACCACTCAAAACTGGAAACTGCTGGTAACCAGAGCTCTAGAGCCTCCTGCGTATGGGTGGAGCCCCACCTGTTGCTTTTACTTTTAATTCCAAACCAGACCTTTATTCCATTGTGTCACTCCTTCCTCAATGTTGCTCTTATCATTAAAAGAGAGAATCACTCACAAGGCTGCAGGCTTTTTCTTATCTTAAAAACATTCTGGAAAAGTAATGAGAATGAATTTGGGGCTGTGATCACAACTCTTCGTTAATGAGCACCACCCATGTTTGAATCACCACTAGCTGTGAGCCCTTATTTGCACAGGGTGTCTTGTTTCTCTCTTCCTTTTTAAATTTTTTTCTAACACATTGGAAACTTCAGAGCTCAGTGCATGCTGGCAGATCATTTGGAGCAGAGAAAAGGAGGCAAAACAGCTAACCAGAGTATCAGAGAGAAAGATGAGATCTCGAAAACTCGGAGCCTGATGGTGGGCTCCAGACCAAGCATTCCCCCTGCCTAATGCCAAATTAAACTGAAACCTCTTTCTTTAAAAGGCACCACTAGGAAGGATGAGTGAGACATTCAAAGGTCATAGCCAAGAGGGTGCTGTGCTTGTAAACCCCACAGCGTCAGTGGATGGGGGTGCAGAGAGGGACCCCAAAAGAACAAGCTGACCAATAAAGACCTCTTACCCATTTTACAAACTTATACTCAGATTTAGCCTGGGACACCAGGACAGGTCGATGAAAGAAAGGGCATGTGTAAACATATTTGTATAGACTTGGGTTTAGGAGCCTCCAAATGCATGGTTTCCAAAAGAAGGTTAGCTACCCAACAACAACAACTCAACTTCCTCATCAATAAAATCTGAACAGTAATTAACAAGTTCATCAGAAATTGTTATGAGAATTCAATGACATAACACATGCAGGCACTTCAAACAGCTTCTGGTACATAGTAAGCTATCAATAATATGTAATGCTGATTATAGTTTTGCATATGTTATCCCATTTGAAACCAAGAACAACAATGTGAAACAGGTTTTATTATTCTCCCAGGACACTGGCTCAAAGAGCAAAAAGAATTTGTCCAGAAACATGCAACTAAAAAGTGACAGATGCCTGGTCACTCTTAGAGGACTACTATTCTATAACCCTGGCTGCAAGAGTTTCCCTTTCAGCTGCTGTGCACCTGCAGCCAGGGAATCACCAGTCTCCAAGGCCTCTTTGAATATATGAGGCTGGAAACCAGATTTGATGTGAAAGCCAGATTAAGCACTTCCAGGACTTTAGGATCCCAAAAATGGTGTCTGGTGGCAACACAAAATGACATTTCTGATATTCTTTATTTTCTACATAATAAAACAGCTCCACAGTTGATGATCCAAGAATACTTTAGTTATCTTAATAATAATAATAATAATAATAATAATAATAACAACAGCCACGCATCAGTAAGCACTGTGGTAAATCCTTTACAAGGATTTTAAATACTCCTCCAGCTATCCTGGGGTGCAGGATAATTTTTCCTATTTAACTGGCAAAGAAACAGATTCAGAGAGGCTGAAGACAGAAAGCTAGTAAGTAGCAGAGACTGAGTTTGAAATCAAGTCCACAGAGAAAAGGCCACACTACCTGTCTCAATTAACCTTTCTCTCCCTTCATTCCTGTACACCCACAGGACAAAGGGCTGGAACAAATGCCTCTTTCCCTTCACCAGAGACAGTACAAACCCCAGGGAAAGAACTTTGTACTTTTGCAAGCAAGACTGCAAAGGCTGCCAGGGTCTTTCTCTGCTTCTCCTTCTGATACTGTCTGATATAGAACAATCCTTCTGAGCACCCCTCTCTTATCCTAGGAAAAGGCTCTCTGTCACAGACACTGCTGAGGATCACAATAACCACCAACAACAACCCAGAACCACTCTTAAAATGGAGGAAAGAAGGTAAGTCATGGAATGGTGCAGCCACAGTCTGCCCCTTTTCCCAGGCTGCAGAGCAAGTCAGGGCCCAGGACAGTGGCCTTGGGTGATACTGAACTCACCTCAGCTTGCTCCACCCAAAGCCGACATTAGGAACAAGACACATAGGGGAATCTCCAGTCCCTTAGACCTCCAACCCCATAACTCATAGCTACCTTGATCCCCTCACCCCACAATTCCATAGCCTCTCTGGTAATTGCCTCAGTTTCCTACAACACCCTAATCCCTGATGCCCTCCTGCTCAACTCACAGAGCCTAAGGAACACTACAACTTATTCTTCACAGAATCACCTTGGGAGCTTCCTCAGGCTGGGTCATTATCAATAAACATTCAGCCATGGCCAGTAGGCCAAAAAAGTGAGCAAACATTAGAGGGCAAGCCTGGGCAGAATTCCCATAATAGAAAAACTTGTTCCTAATCAGGGCCATCTCCAAACCTTCAACACACACAGTGCCAGCAGCTCAGGAAACCGGCTTCAAAAGTCACAGCCCTTTGTGTTGAGGGAGGGTTACCCTGAGTGTACAAAACCACAAGCCCAGGTGGAGGGATAGGTGGCTAGGATTCCCCCATTGCCAGGGTATTAGAATGAGCAGCCTCTCTGAAGTGAGTGAGTCCTCCTTCACTCATTTCCTCTCTGGAAACCGGGATGAGATGGGAACTGTGTGTCGCTGGGCAGTCAAAAGAGTAGACCAGCCCATGGAGACCAAAGCAAGAAGGAAGGTGAACCCAGTAAGCCAAGTTCCCCAGTAAGCTGTCAGAAAGCTGGGGGGAGGAAGGGAGGCACAGCATCCTGTTTCAGAGCACCTCTCTAATTTGATAAAATCTCCCTCCCTGCACTCCCCTACTACAGGCTAGTCCCTCTCCACCTCCCTCCTCTCTTTTTTTAAGCCCAACACCCCCCCCACACACACACACTCTCAAGAGTATTAACTTCCAAATCTGTTCCTTTTTCTTTTCATCACACTTACTCTACAATTCCTTGAGCCCTTCAGTGTACAGGACTGAGTCCTCTATCCTAAATCGGCAAAATTGTTAACAACTTCCCAAGTCTCCCAAGACACAATGCTGCCAGGTGGGCTGAATTTGGCAACTCTCTTCATGCCTGCCTCCAGCCAGCTTCCATTCATCCTGAGTTCAGCCTCCTCCACGCCCTCCATTTAAGGACTGGCTCCTTCTGCTTTCACTCCTTAGGACCCACCCAAAAATACCCCAGCACACCTCCTGCTTCAGGTGGAATCCACCTGCCAAGATGAGGAAGGAAACTGAAACTGCCTCAGGGAGGACGGGGCTCTCTGCTGAAAGCCCTGGGAGAGACAGGTCGGAGGACCACCTACCAGTGCCTCTGCCTGGGCCCACAAACCTGGGGCCTGAAAATACAGCAGAAAGGCACTTGTGGAGTATGGGCAGATGTTTTCAGGCTTTGGGGGCTGGTACTGGGTAACATTTTTCAAAACACTCAGTGTCTGGCCCTAAAAAGATTCAGGTCTCACACACCTGGTCTGGAAGCTTCATTAGGAAGCTGTCCTGAAACAGGAGATGGGAGTGACGTTGATATGGGAAGGCAAAGGAGGAAAGGTACAGGCTGTTCCAAAGTAGATAAAAACTAAAAGATGCTCTCTTGCTGCACTCCCTAGGGAGTCAGGCTGTCCCAGAGACAGGGAATGGAGGATCCCTTCCCGGGAGTGCTTGTTCTGAGGGGGGAATGTCTACTTCCTTCTCAGGAAATAGACTGCAATACCTTAAGCTTAAACCTTAAGCCAAAAGAAAAAGGGGAGGGAACCTGCAACCCACCAATCTCATTTCCAGATTCCCTCTCTCAGCCTAGACACATTAATAATTAACTTGCCTACCCAAGAGCTTGCTGGTATTGCCATAAAAGATGAGTAATGGCACCAGAGCACCGGCCCCATGCCCGCTGGCTTCAGGGCTCTGGCTGGGACGGGCCTCTGGAACAAAGCCCCTGCATTCCTCCAGGAAGGTGTGTCTGAAATCAGAGCTGTCACGGGCTAGAAACTGACCCCTTACCTCCTGCTTGACCGGCTCACCGCCAGCGTGGGTGCAGAGGCTCCCGGAGGAAGAAGAGGTAGGGCAGGTGCCCGGGAGTGCCGTGCAGAACGCGTGGCTAGGTCGCCTCTCCCCACCTCCCGACCCCCACCCTCCCTCCACTCCTGGCCAGCAGCTGTCCCCGCAGCCGGCACGCCTCCGGGTCTATAGGGCCCCCAACCATAGCCGATTTCGGGAAGCCGCACTGTCTGCTGAGAGATAATCCTGTTACCATGAACGCAGGCTGTACTTGGAGACTCGGTTCGTAAAACAAGGCAGCTCCCTCGGCGCTCTTTCCGATGAGTAACCCAAGGCGCCGGCTCAATGAATTCTCTAGCTGAAACTCCAGAGACGAGCTGTGGTTCCCATGCCGATGGCCGGCCACGAACCAACAGGCTCGGGTCAAACCGCGCCCAGACACAAAGCACCCCCGAACGCAGCCCGTGAACCCTGCGTCCTGCGACCCTCCAGCCTGCAGACCCCCGAAAGTTATGGCGCGTGCACACACCTGCCGGCTCCCCTTGGAGGCTCCCGCCAGCCCCCGAGGGCGGCGGGGCACGCGTCCCGGGGCGGGCAGCCCCACGGCTCCATGCGCTTGCTCCGCGAGCCCGGGCGCCGGCCACCGGTCAGCAGCGATGGGCGACGGAGGGCGCCAGGGCCGGGGCCTCAACGCGTCCGCGGCACATCGCGCGCCCTCCTTGTCCTCGCCAGCGCCTTCCCGAAGAGCCCACACCCACTTGACATCAGCACCGACCAAAGCACGTGGCGCAGCGCCAGACGGCAGACCCTGGCAGTCCAAAGGACGCCCCAGGTGCTGCGGCTCGGCCAGGACGGCGCGTCCCAGCACGGCACATTCCCTTCCTTGCAGAGGCTGCTGCAAAGGAGGCTGTTGAAAGATGGAGGAGGGGGGAGGAAAACCCGTAGAGGGGGCAGGACCTGCGGCCTCACAGCAGCGCCTGTCTGGCGCCCTGCCAGCCACCAACAGACCTGACAGTCTTTGCCGCAAGTACCCTTCTCTTGTGAAGACCGGGCTGTAGGTGCCCCAGTTTGCTGTCCTCATCCTACTCAGGAGCTCTCCAAGAGCCCTGACCTTGAATTCTCTTCCCCACAATGATTCAAGGAGTCCCCTCTTTAATAGCCTCCTACTAAACTGATAGGGCTGATTCTGACAAGTCGGGAAAGAATACTTGGTTAGATGTGGTTGGCCATCCCATCCTCCAGGAGGCCACTATCAGGCACCTGGAGAAGCAGACTATACCCTCTGCAGGGGTCTCCACACTGGCAGCCCCAGCTTTGTCTCCTTTCTCTCAGTGCCCTTGGCAGCAAGGGACCTCTCTCCTGGTTCTGCAGGAAATCAGAAGCAGCAACGCCCAGCAACCCACACACTCTTCTAATTCATTCATTAGCATCCATCCCAAATATTCAAGTGTTCAAACATAAATAAGGCTCAGTATGTGCCAGGAGCAACAGATAGAAGATAAAGTTCCTGCACTCAGAGCTGATACAAGCTGGTCAAGGAGAGAGATATTAAATGCAAAGTAATTGCAATGGTTACAAGAATATTAAGTGTAAGAGATACTACAAGAATGTACAAGGACCTCTCAACTGTTGTGGTAGTCAGGAAAGGCTTCCCTGAGGAAGTGACAGGGACATGAAGGGGATGTTCAGGCAAAGACAGAGATAATGAGGGTGTAAGCTTACTCCCATTCGCAGGTGGAGATGATTAAGCAGAAGCACACACTCCAGGCCAGAGAGACCTGGCTTTTGTCCAGCAAGGGCATAGGACAACAGCTCACAGGCCCCGGGAGACAGCCTGGCTATATGTCCAAACAACCGTAGTTGTTTTATCATATCTCCCTCACCCATGGGTACCTCACCTCAAGGAAAGAGCACTGAACAAAGGAGTAGAAGATCTTCATTTCTGGCTCCAACCAAACATTGACTTGCAGTGTGGCCCTACAGAAATTCCATCCATTTGTTCTCTGGTTTCAGTGTTCTATCTAAAATGAGGGGTTGGATTAGGACAGTGCTTTTCCATATATTTTTAAACCCCATTCCCTTTTGGGACAAATATGCAAATGCCATTCCCATTCTGTAGCCTCTCTAATGACAAGACACAGAAATATTTTCCAAATCAAAAATTATACTGAATATGCATTTTAGAACTGCATATGCCACTCAAGTATTAAGCAACATGCTGTCTTGAGATTTATGCTGAAGACAGCTTGGAGGCAGGAGTAAAGAAATGGCCTCTGAGCGTACCTTTCTGTTATCTGTTCCACCCTCCACATGCACCCAGCCACCAGCACTTATCTCTACCCTCTTTTCATTTTCTTCCAGGATAAATTGGCCTGGCAATGAACAGAAGCTGTGGGTCATCCCAAAAAAATTAAAAAACAAAGCAAACAAACAAAAAAACATGTAATGGAAGACTCTTTTGAATAATTTCCAGTAATGCTGGGAAATAGACACCTTGAAGGAAGCATAAAATGTTTCTGGGGACAATTTGGCAATATGAACTAGGAGCTTTAAAAATGCTCATATCCTGTGAATCATCATTTCCACACCTAAGTATTTATTTATCCACAAGACATAATTGTGGCTGGGGTTGCTCATGTCACCATTTTCATAGCAGCAAATAACTGCAAATGGCCTAAATGAATAAGAAGGTTGATTAATATACTGTGGTACATCCTTACAATGGAGTACTTGCAACTTTAAAATTTATATATATTTACTGTAAAATAAAGCAAAATATTATAAAACAAATGATCCCAGTTTTGTGTGTGTGTGTGTGTGTGTGTGTGTGTGTGTTTTGTCTGGAGGTGGCAGGAGTGGTAAGCACCTTCCTTGTAGTGGCACTGTATTCACTTTTCTTACTGGTTGACTCTGACCTACGCCTTGAAGAAAAACATGTTGCCACCATGACATGTCATTCTCACAAGTCTTATCTATTAACCCATATTAAAGCTATAAAACCTTAATATTAAAACAGAATGTAACAAACCTTACAGGCAAACAGGGACGCAGGTCAATTCTTCATTACCACCCACTTAGGTTGAGGATTTGATAGTAATCTTAAAGAAGAAGAGTTTTGCCTCCAGACTTTTTTATCTCATATAGATTCTTCAGCTGTTCTTTCCTTGAGTCTAGCTCAATTATTTTCAAACCAGTGTGCATAAAACTTACTGTCCATGGTAGTTTAGGCTATGTTTGACTTTATAAAAATTTTTTTATCTTATACTCTGACTCTAGAACCTAATCACTGTGTGAAAGTTCAGTAAAAGAGACAAAAGGATATATACCAGTATGGTTAACAATGTCAGAATTATAGTTGATTTTTATTTCTTTCCTCTGGATTTTCTGGTTTTGCAAGTTTTCTGACAATAAACACATATTACTTTAGTGATCAAAGCATAAAATGCTCCTTAAAAAAATTCCCCAAAATATAAACTGAAAACAAACTATGCCTCAACTTAAAAAAAAAAATAAAGGCAACTCTGACCATGCCCTTCATCTCCCTCTCTTCTGCATGCAGGACACTGCCCCAGTTGGTGCCCCAACCCCCAAGGACAGACTGTCCATTGTCGCTAGGATACCAGCAGAAAAACTGGCAAGGAAATTATTTTTACATTTACCTCCTGGGTTGTGCTTATAATAATGCTCAAAAGCTTAAACTAAAGGTTCCAAAATGAAGCAGTCATGACCATCAGCTAACAGATCTATCCCCTTTCTACCAAATATTCTAGGTTCTTAATAACTGAGGGCACATAAAGTACATATCCTTGGTCCAAAGGACCAAGAACTGATTTTCCCAAACCTGTTGGTACCATCGAGCACACGGGCAAGGACCAGCTGAAGAAGAACAAGTCATAAATTAGATTGGGTTCAACCAATAATTATTTGGATGATCTGTGCCTCAACTTCTCTTTGGTAAACAACCTAACAGGAGTCCTTTTTTCCCTTCTAGAGGGGTAGATGTAAAAGCAAAGTGAACAGTACTGCCCAGTGTGGGGTATTATTATTTAATGAAAGTATATGCTGGAACTTTTTTGGGGAGAGGGAGAAGGAAGCTGCCTAGCTTTGGGTTCTTTGGCACAAGGCTGTAAGCTGCAATTTGCCTCCCATTTTGCACTCTGCATGAACCTAAAGGGTTCACAGACTAAAGGAGCAAGCAGAGGGAAAGATAACTGCTTTCTCTTATGGCATAATTCAGGAATTCAAGTCAAGGACAAAAGACAGGTGGGCTGAACACCAAGCTGGGGATCCTGGTTTTTCAAATCACAGTAGCCCAACACCACCAGTGTGGGCTCTAAAGATGAAGGATCCTAGTATTATTCCGCCACTTTAATTCAATAAACATTTAATGCACTACTCACATTCTGTGCTCAAAATAAAACACATGGCTTCCAAGCTAGGCAGAACTGCCATTAGGTTACACTTTAAATCCACCTAGAGTCTAATCAAGCTAATTTTACTGTTATTGTGTCTATTAAAACATGGAGCCTTTGTTTAGAGAGCAAACAGAGGGGAGGAAAGCAGACACATTAAGGGCTGGGAATTTCGATTATTCCAGAATTGTTTCTGAGAAGGAAGTAACAAAAACAAACCTGAATTTATAAAGCAACTTCAGCAGAACCAAAGGTAACAAAAGGTCCACCCCCTTGACAGCTGATTCAGGGACAGAAATGAAGACCCCTGCCTCACCAAAGCGGGAAACACGGAACACAAGAACCAAGGAAGCCAAAATGAGCTGGGGATGTGAAGCCTAAAGGTCATTACTGGGGAGGTGGAACATATTTGCTCCATGGTCAGAGGTCAAAAGCTACTCAAATAAGAATTTTGATAAAATGAATGATTAATAATACATAGCTTTATAAATTTTGAAAGCTAAAAGTACAAACCAAATCACAAAATATCTAACTAGCTAGAGTACATGTATGACACGTGATATTTATCTTCTCTGTTAATCAGAATAAAAATGCAAGTTCTGGGCCCACTGGAGAGAATCTAATGTCTAGAATGAGTCCAGAAATCTGCACTTTAGCAAGTACCTCAAGTGCTTTGACTGTGTCTAGTCCGGAGACCACAATTTGAGAAATCTGAGCTAAAAAGCTATAGAAGCCTAACACGGTTGTCTATCCTTATCTTTCAGCAGCCATCGCTCAGGTAGACTCAATTCATAATTGAAAGTAAAACGGGCTGTCCAAAGAAGGTTATCAGCATCCTGGTGGCTTGTGTGAAGAGGACTTCTGCAGCTCCCTTCCACTTCAACACTCCTTTTTCTGATCCTCCTATCATTGCAGCCCATCTGGATCTGAGCCCCAGGAGTCACTTGCAAGGCCTGAGTGCTATGATAATAAGAAGTTTTCCAAAATAAGCTTCTGACACTCAGTCTTTCCAAATGCTCAGTTGCCCCCAGGTTACAGCATTTCCAGAAAAATCCCAACCTCGCTTGACAAAATACCTTCATATTTGACATCTCCTTGGCTCAGAGGAAGCGAGTGTGTGCTGGAGGTCAGGTTGAGGTTGGAAGGAGGAAAAAAGGCAATTTTTAAAGTTCAGCTGAAATGTCAAGAGTATGAAGCATTCCGTGTTTACACAGGGCTTTCCAAAACTGAGAGCAGCTTCCAAGCAGCTTTA